CTTTCCTTATCCTTTGTGGTGGATTTTACTTTAAATTCTATTTCATCAGAGATTAATATTGCCACTCCTGCTCTTTTTGAGTGTTGTTTGCCTGATATATTTTTTCCATTCTTTGAGTTTTAGTTTGTTTGTGTCTTTAAGTCTAAGGTGTGTCTCTTGAGGGCAGCATATAGATGGATCGTGGTTTTTTTATCCAATCTGCCACTCTCTGTCTCTTTATTGGTGCATTTAGTCCATTTACATTCAGCGTAATTGTTGATAGGTATGAGTTTAGTGCTGTCAGTTTGATGTCTTTTTTTGTGTGTTCACAGTTTCTTTGTTCCCATTAATTTTCTGTGCTGAGTCTTTTTTTTTTAAGTGTTTTCATCTTTTTCATTGTTGTTGTTTTTGTGTTTGTTGAGTCTGTATATTCTTCTAGTTTTTCATTTTGATTTGTAAGATTGTTAGTTTCCTTTGTAGTTACCTTAATATTTACCCCTATTTTTCTAAGTTTATACTGGTCTTTTGTTTCCTTTTATCGCCTAGACTTCCTCTGCATATGAAAAAATCCATGTCTACATTTTTTAAGTCCCTCTTGTTCGTGTTAAAGTTGTCATTTTTTACATATTAATATCTCTGTTTCCCTATTTTCTATATTTTAGCTTTGATGTATTTTTGTGACTTCTCTATCTGAGTCGATATTTGGTTGCTCTTTCCTGTGTTCTAGTTTTGCATTGTTATCTGATGTTATTCATTTTCCAACTGGAGGACTCCCTTTAGTATTTTTTGTAATTTTGGTTTGGTTTTTGCAAATTCCCTAAACTTTGGTTTATCTGGAAATGCCCTAATTTTGCCATCATGTTTGAGAGACAGTTTTGCTGGATATATAATTCTTGGCTGGCAATTTTTTTCCTGCAAGGCTTCTTATATGTCATCCGGTTGCCTTCTTGACTGAATGGTTTCTGCTGAGTAGTCCAAGCTTATTCTAATCGGCTCTCTTTTGTAGAGGACTTTTCTTTTATCCCTAGCTGCGGTTAAAATTCTCTCTTTTGGTTTTGGCAAGTTTGATGATAATCTGTCTTGGTGACTTTCTTTTGGGATCTGCCTTACATGGGGTTTGATGAGCATCTTGGATAGATATATTCTCATCTTTCATGATATCAGGGAAGTTTTCTGTCAACAAATCTTCAATAATTCTCTCTGTATTTTCTGTTATCCCCTCTTATTCTGGTACTCCAATCACTTGTTTGGTTATTTCTTTTGATACAGTCCCACATAACTCTTAAGAGTTTCTTCATTTTTTTAAATTCTTTTATCTGATTTTTCCTCAAATAAGTTGGTGTCAAGGTCTTTATCTTCAGGGTCACTAATTCTGACTTCTGCCTCAATTCTGCTCCTATGACTTTCTATTCAGTTGTCTATTTCTGAAATTTTATTGTTAATCTGGATTTCTGATTGCTGTCTCTCTATGGATTCTTTCAGCCTATTAAATTTGTCATTATGCTTGTGAATAACTTTTTTTTAAGTTCCAGTACTGCTTTGTCTGTGTGTTCTTTGGAATTCTCTACATTTTGAAGAATTTCATTTCTAATTTCTTGAAGAGTTCTGTATATTAATCTTTTGTATTCTGCGTCTGGGAATTCCAAGAAATTCTCTTCCTCCAGAAAATTCATTGATTCTTTATTTTGGGAGCTTGCTGAAGCCATCATGGACTGCCTGTGTATGTGATTTGATATTATTGACTGTTGTCTCCGAGCCATCAATAAGTTATTATAATTTTATTTTATATTTGTTTAGTGTGTCCTAGCTTCTTGTTTTGTTTTGTTTTCACATGCCCGAATAGGCTACTTGTGTGTGCTAGTTTGATTATTGGCGCCTTTGAAGCTCTACTGTCCTGTCACCAGGTAGTTAGGTCTGTAACTAAGCATGTGTGCCCAGGAGTCCGTTAAATTTTCCTGTATGGATTAAGCTCAGGTATCCAGGCAGTTGGTCACCAAGTGTGTGGTGCAAGCTCTCACTTACAGTCTTAGAGAAGCATGGGTTCTTGGTGTAGGCACAGGTGTCTGGCTGCAGAAGAGGGTCACATGCTGAGCAAGGCAGGGGGGCTGACGGCTGCCCTTCATTGTCTGAAAGGAAAGCCTGTCTCTGTTCCCTAGAGCGAGTAGTTGAGTTTTGCAGCTGGACTATGAGCACCCTACTCTGCTGGCTGCAAGGACTCGGGGGCACCACTTATTCTTGGACCCCTGTATCAGGTAGCTAGGTGGCGTGGGTGGAGCTACCAGTCCTCGAACCCCTGATGCGGACAGGTAAGTCACTTGCTTAAAGGGCAGAGCCATGTCAAGCATCACAAAGCTGCCACTTCATAGCTGAAACAGTTGAAGTTAGACTTCAGATATTTACCCTGTTGTACTGTGGTAATGTGGGCTTACACTCTTGACATGAGCCCACACAAGTTCATACAGGGGTGGAAGGCCCTCAAAGTCTGCAGACCCCTTATGCCTGTGTCTAGACAAAGGAGCTGGCTTAGGAGAGCCAGTAGTTTATTTTTTCCCTTTTAATTTGTTTCCTCTCCACGGCCAGAATGGGTCACGACACCTTATGGAATCTCCTTCTGGCCTAGGGTACTCAGAGATCTCTGAAATCGGCCAGACCTCGTACAGAGTGGGGAGGGAGGAGGTAAATGGGAGAGAGTTATGTCCCAAATAGGTTTTTTTTTTTTTTTTAATCCCCACAAAAGTCCACACACAAGTACTTATCTTTAGCCACTTGGGTACTGCTTTTCACTGGTTCAGAGTGTCCAAGTAGAATCTCTGATGCTGGATCTCTCTCAATGTGGAAAATATCTCCCGAGTGAGCAAATGGAGCTGTGCGCCTGCTTCGCTGTGCACCCTGAGCCGATCCGGGCTGAAGAGCCACGGCTCCTGCTGGGTCGGGTCATGCAACTCCTTGCTGCTTCCGAACCGTCTCTCTCTTTCCCCCCGTCACTCAGTCTGATTCTTCAGCTTTGCCTTGTTCAGGGCTGGTAGGTATTCATTCATCAGTTTACTTGTTTTTTCAGGTCTTTGTTGTAAGCAGGACATAGGAAGCCGTCTGACTACTCCGCCATCTCGACCCCACCTCCCTGTTTAAAACATTTTAATGAAATATATATTAAGTTCTTTTATGTTTTAAATCATGATAATCAAATGACCACCTGTGAACATACCACTCAACTTGAGAAATAAAACCTTACTGCTACCGTTGAAGCTCCTTGTGTGTACCTCTCTGATTACATCCTGTGCCTCCCCAAACCCTGGCCCCACAAATAGAATTTTCTGTTTATCATTTCCTTGTCTTTATATTTCTACCTCATTTATATTTTAAAGAAATACATTGTTTATTTTAGTTTGTTTTTAAACCTTATTCAAATGATATATTGCATGTATTCCTACTTTTTTTACTCAAAATTGGGAAGATAGACGGGTAGGGATGTAGGAGGGTAGGGTATGGTTTCCAGTTACCTGTTTATCCTTGGAGGTCATGGACCATGTCTTATATACCCTTTGTATTTTTAAGACTTAGCATAGTGTTTTTTGTAAGGTAAGTGCTTCTGGTGATTTACATTGATACTGAAATGAATCCAAGGGATCCCTATCATACTCTTTCCTTTATAATTGCTCTTAACTGGTTTGACGATGAATTGTTGATGAGTTAGATACGTAACTAGGACATTTCATATTAATTGATTCATTTAGGAGTGATGGTGCAGTCTGGAGACTTTTTCTCCTTTCTCACTACAGTTTTAGATACAGTACTCAGAGGGGAGGGTAAAGGGTAGAAAATATTTGTATACTAGATCATTGTTTGTAAATACACAGATGTCAAACTGCTAATTAAAATGTTTTGGTTCCACATTTGTTTATAGATGCATAGAGCAAGTGTAGAAAGAGAAAAGTGAAAATTACAAAAAATGTGATTTTCAGGGAAAAAATAGCTGGTTTTGGTGACTGAAACAATAGTTAATAGTACAGGGTTAGAAGAGATATAAACCAAGAAATCACAAAGTATTAATATTTAATATAAAATATGACTGGAATCAAAGCTTTTTGGAGTTTCACATGGTGAACAAAGGCCCTTTATTTTTCACCCCCCTGAAGTTGCACCTTAGTTTAGGGTTAGATATTCATTGGTGTCCATTCATCTAATGATGGTGAACTGATAGAATGAAGAACATTAAGATAATAGAAATGATGGAAACAATTAAAAAGTTGTAATCTCTTGAATGTATTAATGTAGCTTTTTATTCAATAATTAGTTCTTTACAGCTGAAGCCCTTGTATCAATTTAATTGAGTTCCTTAAGTTTTCATTTGTTGACGCTTAACATCTTTCCAGGACTCCCCATTTGGTATGCTCCCCTGATTTGCCCCATCTACATGCATCCTTGCACACGTACACACAAACACACAACTTAATTGGTGCAGACCTAGCAATTCCTCCTATAGCATACAAAGAAACAAAGAATGTCATGAAATATCAAAAGACCTTTTCAAGTAAACGACAGTACGTGAGTATGCTTGACCAGAAACATGCTCATTTGTCCTCAGTGCCATATAAAGTGGTCCTCCCTCCCCACACCCTACCCCTGCTTGTTTCCTTTTATAAACTGATATCATCAATGAGAAAGACAAATATTTCTAGATGAAAATTCTGTCTGATTGTGATCTATACATTAATTCAGTTTTAATAGAAGAAAAATGTAAAAGCTCTTATTATTGCCGTTCATTCCTTTGACAGGTAAGATTCCTAGTATCAGTATTTAAGGTAATGGTACAAAAATAATTCAGTAGTTAATGAAATTTTGGGAAAAAAATTATATCGTTCATTGATACACTGTATACCTTAAACTCCTAAAATAGATATTCAAAATAATTTATCCTCTTAGCAAAGGATATAATTTAGGAATTTTATTTTTTTAATTGCTTACTTGTTTTATTCTTAATGATAAAGTTCGTGGAATTACTTGTGTTCATTTTGTTTCAGGAAAGAACAACTTTTAATGAAATACACCATCCATTGTGAAAGTAGAGCAGTAAAGATTATTCATCATGCCTGCTGTGGCTTCCGTTCCTAAGGAACTCTACCTCAGTTCTTCACTAAAAGACCTCAATAAGAAGACAGAAGTTAAACCAGAGAGAATAAGCACTAAGAAGTATGTATCCTTTGCTAGTTTGTGTGTGTGTGTGTGTGTGTGGTATAAATTTTTAATTCATTTCCATATTATTCAGGTTAGATAACTAGTTCATTTAAACTTTATTTGAAAAATGAATTGCGTGAATAAAATAAGAGCTCCTTAGAGAAGTTTTTAACTGTATATTGACAGAATTTGTATATTCTGTTAATGCACATATTTTTTCTCTCTGGACAGTTTACCATATCATAAGCGTAAGAGGTAGAGACTACAAAGGTTCTACAAAAATCAATCAGCCAAAAATCACTGCCTTTTCGGAAAACACTATAAAAATATTTATCATTTTTATTCCTTATAAGAGGAGGGATATGTATCTTTTGTCTAGTATTCAGCAGAATATTAATTTGTGGCAATTTGACATGAGTTTTAACCTAATGATTTATTTTTTGCATTTTTATTTTTGAGAGTGTGTACTGAGACAGAGGCTAGAGATAATGCATTCTGGATAGAGATTACAAAATCTTTCCTGAGATAAAATATAATAGTGATGGAAAGATCTGGCTATTTTAGTATGTACTAGAAGTCATTAAAATTGTAACTCGTTAATCGTTTTAACTCCGATAAGGGACAGGAGGCAATAGAGAAGCTTTTTCTGTGAATTTATTTTAACCAACAAAGAAGAAAGCTTGGAGATTTAAAAAGCAACCACAGTATTATGATGTTGTTGTGTCTGCTGTCAGGTTGATTCCAACTTACAGCAACCCGATAGGACAGAGTAGAACTGCCCTATGAGTTTCCTAGGCTATTATCTTTACAGAAGCAGAGTGCCACACCTTTCTCCCACAGGACAGCTGGTAGGTTCAAATCACTGTCCTTTCAGTTCGCAGTCGAATGCTTAACCACTGCACCACCAGGGCTGCTTCTACATTATTATGGACTTGGAAATAATAGTTTCAAAGAGAAAGGAGGATCTAACCAGCTATGTACTGTAGACTTTGGGCAAACATTTTAGAAATTTGGGTGAGAATAGGTGTTCTTTGGCTAGAGAGAAATGAGAGGCTTTAAAAAAATGATAGGTACAATCCCAGATGAACCCACAAAGAGACATCTAAAGAAACCTACGATTGCATAGGGACATTTTTATGAGTCATTTTCTGAAGGAAATAAGCAGAAGATAGGGAGAAAATAATACACCAAGGAGTAGTAGGAACTTTAAAGAAGGTCAGGAAGGAAAAAAATCCCAGGATGAACTGATATTTCTAAGTATTATTAAGGACAGAATGGGCTTTTTTTTTCTTTTTGTCTGTCTGATCTTTGGCTAAAAGGTGAACCTCCGGAGTGACTTCATTACTGAGCTAAAAGGGTGTCCGGGGGCCATACTCTCAGGGTTTCTCTAGTCTGTCAGCTCAATAAGTCTGATCTTTTTTTGTGTGAGTTAGAATTTTGTTCTACATTTTTCTCCAGCTCTGTCCGGGACCCTCTATTGTGATCCCTGTAAAAGTAGTCAGTGCCATTAGCTGGACACCATCCAGTTGTACTGGACTCAGTCTGGTGGAGGCCGTGGTGGTTGTGGTCTGTTAGTCCTTTGGACTCATCTTTCCCTTGTGTCTTCAGTTTTCTTCATTTTCCCTTGCTCCTGAAGGGGTGAGACCAGTGGAATATCTCAGATGGCCGCTCACAGGCTTTTAAGACGCCAGACGCTACTCACCAAAGTAGAATGTAGGACATTTTCTTTCTAAACTGTGTTATTCCTGTTGAGCTAGATGTTTCCTGAGATGATGGTCCCCACAGCCCTTAGTCCAGTAATTCGGTCCCTAAGGGAATTTGGATTTGTCCATGGAGCTTCTGTGACCTTAACCTGAACAAGTTGTGCTGGCTTCCCCAGTATTGTGTACTGTCTTACCCTTCACCAAAGTTACCACTTATCTATTTAGTGTTTTTCCACCCCCACCCCTCCCCTCCCTTGTAACCATCAAAGGTTACTTCTTTTTGTGTGTAAACCTTTTCATGAGTTTTTATAGTAGTGGTCTCATAAAATATTTGCCCTTTTGTGATTGACTTATTTCACTAAGCATAATGCCCTCCAGATTCATCCATGTTATGAGATGCTTTGCAGATTCATTATTGTTCTTTATCGTTGCGTAGTATTCCGTTGTGTATGTACCACAGTTTGTTTATCCATTCGTCTGTTGATAGGCATCTAGGTTATTTCCATTTTTTGCTATTGTGCACAATGCTGCAGTGAACATGGGTGTGCATATGTCTTTGTGATGGCTTTTATTTCTTTAGGATATTTCCCTAGGAGTGGGATTGCTGGATCGTATAGTATTTCTGTTTCTAGCTTTCTAAGGACGTGCCATATCGTTTTCCAAAATGGTTGTAACATTTTGCATTTCCACCAGCAGCACATAAGAGTTCCGATCTCCCTGCAGCCTCTCCAATGTTTGTTATTTCCAGTTTTTTTGATTCATGCCAGTAATGCTGGCGGTGAAATGGTATCTCATTGTGGTTTTGATTTGCGTTTTTCTAATGGCTAGTGATCATGAGCGTTTCCTCATGTGTCTTGTTGGCTGCTTGAATGTCTTCTTTGGTGAAGTGTTTGTTGATTTCCTTTGCCCATTTTTCAATTGGATTATTTGTCTTTTTGTTGTAGAGGTGTTGGATTTTCCTGTAGATTTTAGAGATTAGACCTTTGATGGATTTGTAATAGCCAAAAAAATTTTTCCCAGTCTATAGGTTCTCTTTTTACTCTTTTGGTGAAGTCTTTGTTTTTTTTTTAATTGTTTTTTTTTATTGTACTTTAGGTGAAGGTTTACAGAACAAATTTCTCATTAAGCAGTCAGTACACATACTGTTTTATGACATTGGTTAACAACCCCACGACATGTCAACACTCTCTCTTCTCGAACTTGGAGGATCTTTTTTTTTTTTGGTGAAAACATACATAGCCAAAGATACACCATTTCAGAAATTTCTACCTGTACAATTCAGTGACATTGAGTACATTCTTCCAGTTGTGCTGCTATTCTCACTATCCGTTTCCAAATTATTCCATCACCATTATCTTCAACTCACTGGCCCCTAGGCTTCCCATCAAACCTTTTGAGTTGCTGTTGTCAATTTGATCTCACGTAGATAATTTTTTTTTTGTACCTTAGATGAAGGTTGACAGATCACATAGTTTCTCATTAAACAGTTGGTACACATATTGCCTTATGACAATGGTTAACAGCCCCACAACACGTCAACGCTGTCCCTTCTCAACCTTGGGTTCCCTATCACCAGCTTTCTTATCCCCTCCTGCCTTGTAGTCCTTGTCCCTGGACTGCTGTGCCTCATTAGTCCCATTTTGTTTTATGGGGCTGTCCAATCCCCAGCTGAACAGTGAACCTTGGAAATAACTTCACCACTGAGCTAAAAGGGTGTCCGGGGGCTGTACTCTTGGGGTTTCTCCAGTCTGTCAGGCCAGTAAATCTGGTCTTTTTTTGTGAGTTAGAATCTGTTCTACATCCTTCTCCAGCTCTGTCCAGGACCCTCTGTTGTGGTCCTGGTCAGAGCAGTCAGTGGTGGCAGCCGGGCACCTTCTAGCTGTCCTGGACTCAGTTTGGTGGAGGCCTTGGTAGCTGTGGTTCATTAGTCCTTTGGACTGATCTTTTCCTTGTATCCTGTTCTCTTCGTTCTCCCTTGCTCCCGAAGGGGTGAGACCAGTGGAGTATGTTAGAGGGCTGCTCACAGGCTTTTAAGACTCCAGACATTACTCACCAGAGTAGAATGTAGAATATTTTCTTTATAAACTGTGTTATGCCAATTGAGCTAGATGTTCCCCGAGACCATGGTCCCCACAGTCCTCCGCCCAGCAATTCAGTCCTTCAGGGAGTTTGGATGTGTCTATGGAGCTTCCATGACCTTTCCTTGTACAAGTTGTGCTGGCTTCCCCAGTACTATGTACTATCTTACCCTCCACCAAAGTTAATGCTTACCTATTGTCTATTTAGTACTCCCCCAATCCCTCATAACCATCAAAGATTGTTTTTTTCTGTGTAAACTTTTACGTGAGTTTTTACAGTAGAGGTCCCATACAATATTTGTCCTTTTGTTATTGAGCTATTTCACTCAGCATAATGTCCTCCAATTTCATCCATGTTATGAGATACTTCACAGATTCATCATTGTTCTTTATCGTTTCATAATACTCCATTGTGTGTATGTACCATAGTTTGTTTATCCATTCATCTGTTGATGGGCATCTAGGTTGTTTCCATCGTTTTGCTATTGTGAACGGTGCTGCAATGAATATGGGTGTGCATATGTCTATTCGTGTGATGGCTCTTATTTCTCTAGGATGTATTCCTAGGAGTGGCATCGCTGGATCGTATGGTATTTCTGTTTCTAGCTTTCTAAGGAAGTGCCATTATCATTTTCCAAAATGGTTGTATCATTTTGCATTTCCACCAGCAGTGCATAAGAGTTCCGATCTCCCCGCAGCCTCTCCAACATTTGTTATTTCCAGTTTTTTTGATTAGTGCCAGTAATGCCGGGGTGAGATGGTATCTCGTGGTTGTAAATTGCATTTCTCTAATGGCTAGTGATCACAAGCATTTCCTCATGTCTGTTGGCCACTTGAATGTCTTCTTTGGTGAAGTGTCTCTTTATTTTCTTTGCCCATTTTTTAATTGGATTATTTGTCTTTTTGTTGTAGAGGTGTTATTAGTTTTTCCATCTCTTTAAAGAATGTTGTTGGTATTTGGATCAAGATTGCATTATATTTGTAAATTGGTTTGGGTAGAATTGTCATTTTCACAATGTTGAGTCTACCTATCCATAAGCATGGTATGTGTTTCATTTATGTAGATCTCTTGGTTTCTTGCAGTAGTGTTTTGTAGTTTTCTTTATATAGGTCTTTTACATCCCTGGTTAGATTTATTCCTAAGTATTTTATTTTTTTAGGGGCCATTATAAATGATATTGTTTTCCTGATTTCATTTTCGTTGTCCTCTGTTGGTGAATAGGAATCCAACTGATTTTTATATGTTTATCTTGTATCCTGCTAGTCTTCTGAATCTTTCTATTAGTTCCAGTAGTTTTTTCAGGGAATCTACAAAATCAGCCTTTTTAAAAGATTGTTTGCGGAGTGAGAAAGAATAAAAGAGGAATTGGCTTACTTGTTGGTCTAAGTAATGTTGATGAGGTGACAGAGAAAGCAGCTTTACTTAACTCCTGTTGAATGATTTCCAGATAAGAAATAATAGGGAAGATAAAAAGGATCTTAAAGCTTTGTTACAGAGCTTCATCTAATCCTAAGACAGGTCCATCCATTCTAGCACTGTCTGCTTTAGCTCTAGGACTTATACGGATCCCAGAGGAAGTGGTATGAAGGAAGGACTTCCTAAATATGCCAAACTTATGTTTTTGCTGTGTCATAGCACTGCTTCAGAGAATGCTAGAATCCTTTTAGGATGCTTGGCTGGTTCACTGGACTGACAGTGGTATTATAGTCATCTCAGTTTGATCGGCTACACAGAGGCCCGTGAGATAATGCATGAATCAGGGTGAAGGAAAAGTGGAGAAACAACAACTGTGCACCTACTATTAAACTCTTCCAGAGAGTATCCTTCCTTACCTGTGCTTGACTGACCTGTATACTGGGACTGTGATGCCATTCTAGGCAGGGCATCCACATTGGCTGAAATGGTCCTCATATGGTACCGCCTTTGATTCTATTCCTTTGTGACATGTTGTAGCTCCTTCACCTTGACCAACTTCATCATTAATTCACGTCCCCGTTTGAAAAACATACAAAACAAGATGCACTGTTCTTTATAAGTTATTGATAAAGCATATTGCATTTAAGCATTTGCCACTATAACTTGGTTGTCAGAACTTTAGTCCTAAGTGAATGAATTCCTCTTACAGAAATTCCTGTTTTATTACTTTGCTTTCTGAAGACTTTGTTAAAATAAACCCGAGAAAATATCCTTATTATGAACACCAAAGAATCATCAAATTATTTTATTGAAGTAGAATTTTAAGATGGCGTATTTTATTTTTTATTTTATTGTACTTTAGAGGAAGGTTTACAGAACAAACTAGCTTCTCATTAAACAATACACATGTTGTTTTGTGACATTGGTTGCCAACTCCACGACATTGTTAACACTCTCCCCTTCTCGACCTTAGGTTCCCCATTACCAGCTTCCCTGTCCCCTCCTGCCTTCTCGTCCTTGCCTCTGGGCTGGTGTGCCCATTTAGTCTTGTTTTGTTTTATGGGCCTCTCTAATCTTTGGCTGAAGGGTGAAACCCCAGGAGTGACTTCATTACTGAGCCAAAAAGGTGTCCAGGGGCTGTATGCTCAGGGTTTCTCCAGTCTCTTTCAGACCAGTAAGTCTGGGGTTTTTTTTTGTTTGTTTGTTTTTGTGAGTTAGAATTTTGTTCTACGATTTTTCTCCAGCTCTGTCTGGGACCTTCTATTGTGATCCCTATCAGAGCAGTCAGTGGTGGTAGCCAGGCACCGTCTGCCTAGGCTGTTGGACTCAGTCTGTTTAAAGCTGTGGTAGTTGTGGTCCATTAGTCCTTTGAGCTGACCTTTCCCTTGTGTCTTCAGTTTTCTTTATTCTCTCTTGCTGCAGACGGGGTGAGACCAGTGGAGTATCTTAGATGGCTGCTTACAAGCTTTTAAGACCCCAGACGCTACGCACTGAAGTAGAATATAGAACATTTTTTTTATAAACTATGTTATGCCAGTTGAGCTAGATGTTCCCTGAGACCATGGTCCCCACAGCCCTCAGCCCAGTAATTTGGTCCCTCAGGGAGTTTGGATGTATATATGGAGCTTCCATGACCTTTCCTTATGATGGCATATTTTAGACTTTAAATCTCTTTTCCCTCCAGGGCCAGTGGATCAGAATGCAGTTAAGGCATTTTGTAGAAAACTTTAAGGATAAAGATTAAAGTCATGTCCCCTTTCCTGTACTTCGTTTTTTGGATTTTTAGATGCGGATGATTTTACTTCATGGTTAGAAAGGAGTGAGGATAATTGAAAGGTATTTGTTTTAACATTAAAATAATAAGGAATAATACTCAATACAAATAATATGCAGTCATATTCTTTCATTATAGATTATGGCCCAGGACCACTTACTGGACATTATTATAGTACGTCCCTTTAAAACTGGACTAGAAATGGCATTTTTCATGATGTGAACAGTTTGGTGGTGTATCAGTATTATGAAACAGAAGTATTTAGTGTAAGGAAAATTTCAAGTTGTATTTAAACTTATATCCAACTTTATGTATTCTGAAATAGTGCATCCTAAATTGTGGAATTTATTGTATCAAGATTCTCTATGGAGTTTGTACATGACCTGTGTGTTTTTTCCCCCAGATGTCAAGTGTTTTAATTATTTTTTTCTCTTAATTTTAAGTTACGTACAGAGTGCCCTGAAGCTCTTCAAGAAAGCTGAAGAAAGCAGGTTAGATCGTGATGAGGAGAGGGCCTATGTACTATACATGAAATATGTGACTGTTTATAATCTCATCAAAAAAAGACCTGATTTCAAGCAACAGCAGGTACCATTTATTTCTGCATTTTTCTTTGCTAAGCTGTTTTTGCGTGCTGGAGCTGTTGATTTCCCCTAAGAGTTTTAACTGACAATGAAATTTAGATCACACTGTGCAGCATCAAGTTCAAAGTCTTATGCAGATAGAGAAAACAAACTAAAGATTTAGTGTCATTATTTACAACGTATTGCCTTGGATTAGTGTAAATTTATAGCAGCATACAGATTCATAATCTGTTTTCTGTTACAACAAATCTTTGCCAGATTAAGTGGAAGGATTCAGTTTTCTCGTGCATTAAATGAAAAAAAATAATATATAGTTTACAATTGTATCCTCTCAAGGTTCAAGATTTAGTCAGTTAAGTTTTTATGTGACAGCTTTTTATGTTTGACTGACATTGTAGTCATACTAAAGATCTCAGTTTGTAAAATTAATACTTCCAAAATAATTTTTGTTATGCTTTTAATCCTTCGAGCAAGTGTCAGTCTTCTGCTTTGCTGAGGTCATGGTGGTGGGGAGCACGGGAGGATGCAGGAGGTGTAAATGATCAGTTCCTGTGAACTGATGACTGGGGTAAGACTGGGGTAAATAGTTGCATTTCTGTTGCACCAGACACAGGCAAAAGAACACAGAAACTAGCTAGGTTAAAGAAATGGGAAGAATGTAGTGGTAGTTCCACCTTTATTTAGGAAAATATCTCACTACCAGTCACTAGTAGCAGAATCCTGCCAATAGATATCTTACCTGGTACAGAAACCATTCTTGAATTAATACTGAGGTTTGATCTTGTTCTCTGGTGGTAGAATTGGTTTGTCTCATTTAAATTGACTTACAGAAATAACCAAAGTTCTCGTATTCTTTGAAATTACTTTTTTTTTCCCCTTCCAGAGTAGTGTGAATGATATAATTTTTTTTGGTCATTGGTTTAGGGATAACCTTAATTTTACTTAATGATGATAAATTATTGTTAGTGTTTCTTCCCACCAGCCCCATTATACTAATAACAGTTACTGTATTTGAGATCTAGCTTTGGTGAGGCGGCCCCTTGCAATAGATGGTTTTTTTCAGCCATCCACAAATGGCTGGATTAGCCCTGCCCTGGGAGAAATCTTTTAACATTTTTGGGCATACAGTAGTCCCCCTTTAGCCATGGGAGATATGTTCCGAGACCTCCTATGAATGCCTGAAAGCGTGTATAGTACCAAACCCTATGTATACTACGATTTGTCCTGTACATACATACTTGTGATAAAGTTTAATTTCTAAACTAGGCACCGTAAGAGATTAACAACAATTAGTAAAAATAAAATAGAACAGTTATAACAATAGACTGTAATAAAAGTTATGTTAATGATGGAGCAGGATGGCGCGAGATTTCACCTCATGCTATGTAGTCATTTAACATTTTTGAACCTCGGCTGACCGCTGTGGAAAGTGAAACCACAGATGAGGAGGGCTACTGTACTTATCTGTAATAAGAGACAGAGACCTGCATAAATTCAAACATGTTTTTGTACATTCCTTGACGGTTTTTATACTATCTGTTAAAGTAGAATTGCTTAAAAAGAAGTGTAAAAGTGCTTACTAAAGTAAATATTTTTGAAAGATTTGCAGATTTGGATAACTCTGACACTTTCGGTGTTTCCTGTTTTTTCTGTTATGATAGGGCTGTTTTTATGTACTTGTTTACTTTTTGCTTGTTTTTTATAAATTGTTACTTTTTTTCTTTGACAAGATTGGGAGTGCTTTTGTAGATACTGTTTTTTTTCCTTGAGAAGGTTGGGAGTAAATTTAAATAGATAAGAGATTTTTCTGTTTCCACAGAGTGTCTGTTGCATCTTGAAAGGGAGTAACTAGCTGAGAGCAGCAGGAGAAGCTCAGGTTAGGAAGCTCCCTACAAAGGCTGAGGTAACCCAGGCCGTTGCTTCATATGCTGCAGTTGTTCAGTTCCAGGTTCAGTAAAAGGATTGTTTCATCTGCTCTGTCCAGGGTGCCTCATCTGCCTCTGTCTTAGAACTATTTTTGTTTTATTTAACCTAGCCTCTCCAGTGCACTTCAGGTACTTGAGAGGTTAAATTTACTAAGTAGGTACTTTCTAGTTTTGCCCTGGGTCTGTCTCAGAAATTAGTATCTTGTACTTGTGTTTTATACTAGAGAATATTTAAAATTTAGATAAAACTTGTTAATTTAGTAAGCTCTCTAGCTACTAAAGAAGGACATGATACATTATTGCTTACTCATTGAAAAAATCAGTTTATGAACAATATCTTCAGGATTATCTAAAAAAAATGGGAAATATATTGAAAATATTAGTATAGCAAAGTCTATAAAATTAGAATTATATTTTAAAATCTCCATGATATTCTTGGTATGTGAGCCTTAATATTTGTTGGTAAACCTTTTTGTTTGGGAAATCCTTAGAATTGTTTAATTTGTATGTTTAGGAATGGGAAGGTTCTGCTTAGTAAACCTGAGAAAAGTTTTTAGGTGTATAACAGTTGAATATTTTTTTTTTATCCTGCCAGTTGTCATACTATTGAAAGTTTTAAAATGTTTACTTGCTTTAAGTATAATTAGTTTCCTAAAAGAACACAGAAAGAAATAATCATTGATGAAAAACCTCACTAGTATTTGGGAAGTGGCTCCTAATAGTTTGTAATGGGCATGCCCAATCACAAACCATTTTTTCAGCGTTTAAGTAGACTTAAACTGGGTTTACAAGCTGACTTTTTAATGGTTCATGTCTAAAAATGAATAAAACAGTCATAGTATTTTTGGTTTTTACTGTATTTTGTTTTTATCAAAGGAATCATACAGTAATGATTAAATTTTGTTTTCTTTTAAAAATGTATTGCATCAATAGGACATTTTGGTAGCTAGAGTACTTACAACTTCCACCAGAAGATTCAGTTGATACAATGTTTAAATTGTACAATTTTATTGGAATAACACCTTGAAGGGCCCTTCTTACATATTTAATCTTTAATCTAAAAGAGTAAAATCAACCCAAATGTGATCTGCTTCTCGGCTAGATGGACACATGATAGTTGTCATCAACGAACTTGCCCCATTAGTGCAGCTCTGGGTGACTGCTTCTCGAAGAGTCAGAGATGAGTACCTCTGGCCTCCTGGCCTTTTTTATAATTTCCAGTACTCCCATTTGTGATGAACTGTGCTGGTAGGCCCTATTTACAAAGTCATATTGACAGATTATGGCAAACTCGATTCAATAATCATTTAGCTGAATTTCACTATGCTACTGTTACGTTGAACCACCCTTGATTTTAAAACATCTCTCATGACAGGATCTAAGAGTGGCCTCTTGGAATAGTGACTTTTTTTTTTTTTTTTTTTTTTGATTAAAACTTTAGTATGCTGGCTAGTGAATTGTGAACAGACTTTTTGCCTTTTTCTAAAGTAGATGATATTATTGATGATATATTTTCCATCATTTGATTTCAGTTAATCAAGATTTCCTCAAATACAAAACTTGTTTTATGTATGAAAAATGTTTTGACTCCAGTTGGGAGGTGGGTAGCTGCTGTTAAAGTACAGTTGGAAGCAAAACATCCCAGTTTAAGACAAGTAAAACCAAACAAATCCCTTTCTATGCATCTACACACAATTTACTGCTTCTGAGACCAGAGAAGAAAAACTAGGTAACATATTAGAAAAATATATTTTGTTCTTGAAAGCTTTGCTCTTTGGCATTTACTCATAAAAAATAAAAAATAGTATTTACACTTCCCAAAGATACCTTACAAATAAGTAAACTTTATTAGTGGTTTTTTTTTTTTAAGCATATTAATGGTATGAAGAGATATTCGTGAAACATTTGGAGAATAAATTGTGCATATGTAGGTTAAAAGTTTAAAAAAATACTTCATTCAGTCATAAAAATGTCTTTATCTAAACTTTGCATTATATAAGCACCATGACTATAATGTTTTTAGCATTAGTGCTGTGTACAGTGGCCAGTACTAACAGTGTGGGATGATTTTCCTATAATTTTAGGACTACTTTCATTCAGTTCTTGGACCGTCAAACATCAGAAAAGCTGTTGAAGAAGCCGAAAGACTCTCTGAAAGCCTTAAACTCAGGTACAGACATTATTATAAAATATTTTTAAAAAATGTGAATTTAGAAGATAAGCATAATACTTAGAATTTGTCAATTTACATCTGACCATGCATGTAATATCCCAATTCCTGGAAGTAAGTACTAATGTTAACTGGGACACAAATTAAAATCTTCTGCCGTGTCACCTGGATTATGTTCATGTGTTACCATTAATATTCTTTATCAAAATTTGAAAGTATTTAGAATGAGAAATTGCTAAGGTAAGCACTGGCGTATTAGATTAGAACCCACGTCCAATGTTCTGTTTGTAAGTTCTGACAGGATTCTTCAGAAAAAATTATTTCTTCGTATGCCCCATGTTATACTGTGCTACTGGACATTGGTCTTCTGGGAATGAAGTATTTGCTGTTAGTTTTGATCTGCCTATTTGCAGAAGTTATTTATGCTTTCTAAAAAATCTAATGATGGTGTTTGCCATGACTGGCTTACCAGTCTTATAAAAGGATTACAAGGTAAGAAACTATGTTTCAGTTTTTAGTCATTCTGTAAATAACAGGATAAAAAGGGAACTATTTTCATTTTGGTGTTTTTTCTTCATGATTTTTTCATTTTTGGATCAATTAATATTGCAGTTAAATGAATCATAGTTTCCATTTAGAAATTATCTTTTTAAACTGATACATTCCCTTTGTCCCTTCCAGAAATTACTAATCTTGGGGCTGGAGTATGTTAAGGGGCACAGGTAATTAAGATGGAGTATTTAAGAGTATGAGGGCAGTCATAGACTTCTTATCTTCCATGGGGGAGACCCGGGTTCAGTTGTTGGCTAGTGCACCTGTCTGTCAGTGGAGGCTTGTATGTTGCTATGATGCTGAACAGGTTTCTGTGGAGCTTCCAGACTAAGACAGATGGACTAGGAAGAAAGGTTTGGTGATCTCCTTCCAAAAATCAGGCAGTAGGTAGTAGGTAGTCAAAGGAACCAGGAGTTAGTGTCAGAGAGAGTGCATGTTTTCATCTCACTTCAGGCTACCAACTGAAGCTCCACAGTAGGCGAGACATCAGCTCTACTTGAGTGGATTTGGCAAGGTAAGGGGTAAGATGTGGCTAGGAGAACAGACAGGAAAAAAGGGGGACTTCATAGTTTTTCCATCCTGCCTTCAAATTAGACTCAGGCTAATCGTGCTTACTTCTTAGGCAGACCAGTAAGACTTCACAGCTCCTCATTGTGGGACCAGATGCTGCTCCTTCTGTATTTTTGTTTTATTTTGCTGATTTGGCTTCCCAACCCCTCCCCGTTTTGGTATTTGTCAGTGCTTAGCCCTGTTGCTGTTTTGGGGCTTCTTCCTCAAACAATTCATCTATTTTCTTTACTGATGACTTCCAATTTTCTGTTTGTTAAGTCTGATCTCCTGATTAAACCATGGCTATATTTCTCTATCCCAAACATTAACACTTAGGTGTGCCGTGAATATCTCAAAGTTGGGTGTTTATTTTTACTTATCTTCCCCTCAAAGTACAAAGAAATCGGGAGACCTTCCAGGGTCTGTTTCAGACTTCCCTTCTGTGATTGATAATACCACTGTCCGTCATATGGTCAGTTATGCTGAATCATTATTGACTTTTGTTTACCTTCTGTATCTAATTAAGTCACTAGCTATTCATTCAGTTCAATAAGTCTCTCTGTTTTTTTAATATTTGATTGTGTTTTAGGTGAAAGTTTACACAGCAAATTAGATTCCCATTCACCAATTCGTATACAGATTGTTCTGTGATATTGGTTACAATCCCTGCAGTGTGTCAGCACTCTCCCCATTTCTACTCTGCCTGCCCCATGTCCGTCTATCCAGTTTCCCTGCCCCTCCTTGCCTTCTTATTTTGCTTTTGGGTAAATGTTAACCATATGGTCTCGTATAGTTGATTGTTTGTAGGAGCACAGTCCTCACTTGTGTTATTGTTCAATAAGTAAGTCTTGATCTTGGCCCTTGAGATAGTAATTTAGCAGGGTGCTCTATGATAAATACTACAAAAGATGCGTACACTATGGGAAAACATTTAAAGGAACAGTTACTTCTGCTGGACTCTGAGTAGGGACTTTCCCCTTGAGTAGGGGATAGCTATGACAATGGGGCAATGATAGAATGAACAACATACACCAAGGCATAAATGTACGTGATGGATTGGTAAGAAGTCTAGGGTGGCTTAGAGAATAGGTTTTATGGTTGAGAGTGACTAGAGATGAGAACTGTAGACTAGGATTTCAGATGGTAAAGGATCCTGTGTGAAATTCTTGTCCAATTCGGCTGTGTTATACTTACTCCCTTCTTTAGAAGTCCCACTACTACCGCTGTAGTCTGTGCTTTCAGTACTGTGTGTCGTCATAATTTCCTGTTCTCCATCTGTTCTACCAGTCTGTTCTGTACACTCTTGCCAGAGGATGTTTTTATTTTCCTTACATGCTACTCCCTGATAAGAAACTTAGCCATCACCACCATACCATATCCCTTTCATCTCCTCTACCTTCCTGAATCTTACTTGTCCATTAGGCTCACATTCTCAGCATAATCTTCCTAGCTTATTGTAGTCCACACTGAATGCCCCTCCTGCTGAGCTTCTACAGCACTCACCTAGACCCCTCATTTGTAAAATACTCTATGAATGTTGGTTGGTAGTGTTATTACTTGTTTTGACTTAGTTATATTGTAAGCTGAAGGGTAGGAGTTGCCTCTTAATACCTAGTGGAGCATCCCATTTATTAAATAATTGTAGGCTCCAGAACAGCCCGTGATAAACTGGCTGTGCTTCTCTCACAGGAGTAGGGAAATGTCTGGAAAGAGCCATCAGTGTGGCTCAGGAAGTACTACAGGTAGAGTTTATAGTCCTATGTGGGTTGTTTTGCTTAATCGGCCAGAATATATAATTAACTGTTTTTTTGTTTGTTTGTTTTTTAATTGTAGATATAATGAATGCACAAGACAAACAATTCCAATAGCATGAAAGGGTATATGATGAAAAGTATGTCTCTTACCATAGATCTCCAATCTCTGTCCTTAACTATTATTACCAGGTTCTTACGGATCTTACTGAAATAAAGTATGCTTGTATATGCATGTAAACCACCTCTCCATCTTCTTTTTTCTTTATTCAAGTAGAAGTAGACCACATACACCGCTTTAAACCTTACTTTGTCTCCTTAACACATCATAGAGGTCATTTCTTATCAGCACACATAGATCTCTCTGTCAAGATTGTCTTCGAAGAACGTCTCTGTTGTTACTTTGCAGGTTGGCTTCAGTAGGATGTTTATTACAGATTCAGTCTCCTCTGCTAGCTCTCTACCTTCCATTATTTTCCTCAGATATTTTTTCTCTTTGAACTGTTTTTTTTTTTTTTTAATTGTTGTACTTTAAGGGAAAGTTTACAATTCAAGTTAGTCTCTCATACAAAAATTTATACCTACATTGTTATGTGACCCTAATTGCTCTCCCTATACTGTAACAGCACACTCCTCCTTTCCAACCCTGATTTCCTGTGTTCATTCAACCAGCTTCTCATCCTCTCTGCCTTCTCATCTCACCTCCAGACAGGAGCTACCCATTTAGTCTCATGTATCTACTTGAGCTACGAAGCACACTCTTTACAAGTATCATTTTTTGTCACATAGTCCAGTCTAATCTTTATCTGAAGAGTTGGCCTCCGGAATTGTTTTAGTTCTGGGTTGACAGAGTCCGGGGGCCATGCTTTCTGGGGAACCTGTAGTCTCAGTCACACCATTAAGTCTGGTCTTCTTACTAGAATTTGAGTTCTGTACCCCACTTTTCTCATGCTCCAACAGGGACTCTCTGTTGTGTTCCCTGTCAGGGTGGTCATTGGTGGAAGCTGGGCACCATCTAGTTCTTCTGGTCTCAGGCTGATGCAGTCTTTGGTTTATGTGGCCATTTCTGTCTCTTGGGCTAATACTTTCCTTGTGACTTTGGTGTTCTTCATTCTCCTTTACTCCAGGTGGTTGGGACCAATTGATCCATCTTAGATGGCCGCTCGCTAGCTTTTAAGACCCCAGATGCCACTAACCAAAGTAGGATGCAGAACATTTTCTTAATAAACTTTGGTATGCCAGTTGACCTAGATGTCCCCTGAAAGCATGGTCCCAGACCCTCGCCCCTGCTACTCTGTCCCTTGAAGTGTTTGATTGTATTCAGGAAACTTGTTAGCTTTGGTTTAGTCCAGTTGTGCTGACTTCTCCTGTAGTGTGTGCTTTCCTTCCCTTCACCTAAGATAATTCTTATCCACTATCTAGTTAGTGAATAACCCCCTTCCTCCATCCCCACCCTCGTAACCATCAAAGATTGTTTTCTTCTGTGTTTAAACCTTTTCCTGAGTTCTTATAATAGGTGGTCTTATACAATGTTTGTCCTTCTGTGACTGACTAAATTCACTCAGCATAATGCCTTCCAGATTCCTCCATGTTATGTTTCACGGATTCATCGTTATTCTTTATTGTTGCATAGTTTTCCATTGTGTGAATATACCATAACGTGTTTATCCATTCGTCCTTGATGGGCATCTAGGTAGTTTCCATCTTTCTGCTATCGTGAACAGTGCTGCAGTGAACATGGGTGTGCATATATCTATTCGTGTGACGGCTCTTATTTCTCTAGGATGTATTCCAAGGAGTGGGATTGCTGGATCCTTTGGTACTTCTACTTTTTTAAGGAAGCGCCAAATCGATTTCCAAAGTGGTTGTACCATTTTACATTCCCACCAACAGTGTATAAGTGTTTCAGTCTCTCCACAACCTCTCCAACATTTATTATTTTGTGTTTTTTGGATTAATGCTAGTCTTATTGAAGTGAAATGGTATCTCATT